AATATCAGGCATGAACTGGGCATTTGAACATGCATGATTTCATAAAGCCTCACAATGACCATCTACAGTAGGCGGCATTAATCCCATTTCACTGATGACACATTTCAATCTCAGAGAGTTTAGGTAATCTATAAAAGGTAAGTGGAAAAGAAAAGATTTGATTACAAAGCCCATGTTCTTTCTTATAGTCTAATTGTATGAACTTGATGAAGCTTTTTAACTTTTCCTGTGACTCACATTTAAAAGGGGCATATTAATACTTTCTTCACAGGAATAATTTAAGAATTGAAAAAGTTAATAATTGTGAAAATGCCTCACAGAGTCATGATGTCTTAAAACATTTGTTGACTATGAAAGCATGACAATGACTCTATTGAGCAACTATCAGCATAGCAGGTGTCTGAATCTTTCTGCTGTGCAGGTTTAGAGAAGGCACCTACATTCTTTTACCTGGATTGTATTATGAGTTATACCCAATTAAACGGGCTAGAATACATCCTGTGGTTGTGCAATGACTGAAGGATCCTAACACATTATGATTACTGCAATAATGAGAGTAATAACTAGGAACCAAGGAATAACAGTATATTATTTAGAGTTCTCCAGAAAAATTGGAACCAACAGGGTGTGTGTGGGTGTGGGTATGTGTTTAGTATAAGAAATTAGCTCACTTGATTATGGAAGCTGACAAGTCCCAAGATCTGCAGTTAGCAGGTTGAAGGTTCAAGATGGCCAGTGGTGTAGTTCTAGTTTGAGTCTGAGGCTTGAGATTCAGGAGACCCGACAGTGACAGTGTGAGGTATAGTCCAAAGCTGTCAGGCTGGAGACCCAAGCAGAGTTCATGTTTTAGTTCAAGTCCTAATAAGGAAAAGACTGATGTTCCAGCTCAAGTAGTTGGGCAGGAGGGGTTCCCTCTTACTGGTGAGAGCATCAGCCCTTTTGGTTCTATTCAGGCCTTCTGCTGATTGGAAGAGGCTCACCCACATCAGGAAGTGCTTTGATTCTAATGTTTATCTCATCCAAAAACTCCCTCACAGACACACTCAGAATAATATTTAACCAAATATTTGGGCACCTCGTGGCCCAATCAAGTTGACATACAATATTAGCCATCACACACAGCACTCGGAGTAACTATCACTGAACTAGGGACTGATCTTATGGTAACAGAGCAATAAAGAAAGCAAATATCTGAGCTTTTATAGGGGTAAATTTGTACATGGTAAAGAATTCTGTAAGTTGAAGAAGAATTTCAATATATGTGCTCATTCAAAGTAACTTTCCCGTGGGAAACCTTGGGAACTATTGGGTGTTGGGCCCTCTGAGAGCCTTCAACCATTGACTGACCGGAAGTCTGCATGTCGTTGTTAAAGATTTCAGGTACTTCTATCAAAACAACTAAAGAGCTATCTCATACACTGCTGGATACATGCAAAGAGAACTTGAGAATGGTCATTCTCACAGGTATTACATGATGCAGTATATACTGATACCCCACTTTGTACTTTGTTGGAGCAAGTTGGAGCAATTTGCTACCAATTGATCTTTAAATTATCAATTTAGTATATCCTCAACAAACCTGTCCCTCGCTCACCCCATGATACCTACCTTGTACAGCTCAGCCCTTGGAATCCCAGCCCTCCTGTGGCTGGGAAAGTCCCACAATCAGTCTGCGTGCTCTCCCTTTGAACTATGGCACTAACCAGGGTGGCTACATAATTTGCAGGGTCCAGTGCAAAATAAAATTGTGGGGCCTCTTTTCATTACAGGCACTGAAATACGGCCTGGCTGGTGTGGCTCAGTGGATTGAGTGTTGCCCCATGAACTGAGGGGTCCTGGTTCGATACCTGGTCGGGACACATGCCTGGGTTGCAGGCTCGATCCCCAGTAGAGGGCTTGCAGGAGGCAGTCAACAGATGTATCTCTCTCACATTGATGTTTCTCTCTCTCTCTGAAAAATCAATAGAAACATTAAAAGAGCCCGGCTGGTGTGGCTCAGTGGTTGAGTGTTGACCCATGCACCAAAAAGTCACTGGTTCGATTCCTGGTCAAGGCACATGCCCAGGTTGTGGGCCAAATGGCCAGTGGGGGGCATGCAGGAGGCGGCCAGTCAATCGTCTCTCTCATCAATGTTTCTATCTCTCTCTCCCTTTAAAATCAATAAAGAAAAAAAATTGAAAAAAAAAACATTGAAAGAAATATTTAATATTTAAAGCCTTTTCACTTAAAAATTTTTTTATTACATATAAACCATAATACAGAATAATAGTGATAGATAAGTAATGATGTAAATTTAAAAATGCAAAAAGTTAATGTTTTTGGTGTCCTACTAATGCAATACAATAAATAATATTTTATTAATGTGATATCTTGATTGATCATAAGATTTTTCTGGTTCTCCTTTCTGAAAATTCACTTAGATTATCAAAATTTATTCTTTTATATACTTCATTTTCAATCAATATAATTAAAAGCAACTTCAGCCCTGGCTGGTTTGGCTCAGGTGTTGGAGCGTTGGCCCTCTGATCAGGGAGTTGTGGGTTTGTTTCTGGTCAAGGGCACACACCTCGGTTGTGGCTCTGTCTCCGGCCCGGTCGGGGTTGTGCCAGAGGCAACCAATCCATGTGTCTCTCTCACATCGATGTTTCTCTCTCTCTCTCCCTTCCACTCTGTCTGAAGATAAATGGAGGAATATCCTTGGGTGAAAATTAAATTTAAAAAAAAAAGGAACTTCAGGAAAATTAAATGTGGCAAAATTTTTTGACAAGTTTTAATTCTGAGGAGGATCTTTTTTGATGATGCAACTATTACTGAACTTTGGAGTTTTTAATCGTATAGGCTATGATAGGATTGGCATACTTTTAAAACCCTGTTATGTTATTATTTTTGTTGACATGATTACTAATTGTGAATAGATAAAACATGGTTGCTGAGAAATTATATCAAATAACAAGAACAGATTTGCCAGAAACAATTTTTGAGAAACTTATTATATGACTTGCAATCCTCTTGAACAACCAAAACACATCTTATCTATTATTAGAAATAAACAATAAGCCATATTGAGGTGCATATAGATGCAGATACACAAACAAGCAGAGACCTAACAGTTTCTAGAAAAGCTTTCTAAAGCCACCTATACTTGATCACTTTTAATCCCATTGTGGTAGGCATCTCTGACATGGTCATAATCTTTCTATAATGAGAATATTACATTGCTAACAAATTATTTTTTAAATGCAGTCTTTACTGCTTCTAGAGCTGATGGTTCTTGCAGAACACGTTTTCTAGAAAAGTTTAACTCTTTTTTTTTTTTTTTTTATCCTCACCCGAGGATATTTTTCCATTTTTTGTACAGATAGAGTGGGAGGGAGAGAGAGGAAGGGAGAGAGAGAGAGAAACATCGACGTGAAGGGACACATCGAGTGGCTGCCACCCGCACAACCAACCAGGGCCGGGGAGAAAGTGCAACCGAAGTACATGCCCTTAGCGGGAACCGAACCCGGGTCTCTCCGAACCGCAGGCCGACGCTTTAACCGCTGAGCCAAACTGGCCAGGGCGAAAAGTTTAACTCTTTATAGAATAATTTTCAAGTAGGCCTGAGTTCAATTTAGATGTAAATTTATAGAATGGCATTTCAATATTTCCCGTGACTTGTGGAGCTTTTACAAGTAGCCGTAAGTGGCACCACATCACCCTTTTTATAGAATTCAAAATGTTTATTATGTGTTCTTCTTGCTTTACCTTTAATTATAGAAAAAAAGTTGTCTTCATTAATAGTTCATCTGAAACATCACATAAAACTATGATTTTCTGCTGAATGGGATGATTTGAAATTGAATTTCTATTTTTAAGCCTGTGGCTATTTGCTTTGTCCCGTTGCAGCAGCTTTTAAAACCGGAGAGTCTAAACTTCTGGAAGAATTCTCATCACTCCCCGCGAAGGTGCTGCAATGTCCCCACACAGGTCTTCGTTATAACACTGTGCTGTCTGAGGTTTGTGGCCTGAGGGCCACCTGCTCCCGTCCTAGTGCACAGGCCACAAAGGTGATTCTGTGCAGACACAGGGCCGGCTCTGGGACCGAGGGGAAGGGCTTCCCACTGTGGTTTCAGGAGCTCCTCCTTTTCCTCGGGCCCCTGCCATGGTGCTGCTGCCGCCGAGGGGGTTGCAGTGCCGGCCTGCTGGCTGCCTAGGGCGTGGTGCCCAGGACTGAGGCTGTGACATGCAGCTGAGCGGCCCTCCTCGGCCCCACGCTGGACGCGGCTCCTTTGCCGGTGAAAGGGCTTCACTGTCCCATCAGACTTCACTTAGAAAACACGATTTCAAAGATAAAATGAATTTCAGGATGGAGACAGCAATGCATTAAGGTAACTATGGGGCCCTCTGAGTACAGAGCCCTATGTGATGACACAGGGCACATGTCAACGAAGATGGCCGGTCACAACCCCTTGTGGCATCTCAGTGCGGCGGCATCCAGCTCCTTTCCGAGCTCATTCATGCTGCGGAAGCCTGCCTCCCATTCTCCACCTCTTCAGCCTCCATCTCCTCTTCCATCCGCCCTCTCTGCCGATGGCCTGGGGCCACATGTCACCGGACAATAAGAACAGAAGAAAGGAGGTGACACCGCCACCTCGCATAAACTGCTGCCGCCTCAGCACCTCACCTGTGTGTGTCCACGTCCACGAACAATTCTTCTGGTAGTTATGTTCGGATAATTGCTCCACATCGGTTAAGTTTTCACCTTGTCTTTGGCAACAATTTTTGTATGAACTTTTAAATCTGTAGATAAGTTTTGTTTTCTTTTCTATAGTTTTTTCTTTTAGTGTTTTTACATAAATCAGTAATTATTTATTACGGAATTAATTGAATTGTCTTTTGAATCAGCAATTTGTGGGAAGTTCCTATGGAGGACAAGGGAGGGGCTTTCTCACCTGTGACTCTGGGTGTCACGCTCTGCACCAAACCCCAGCCGCCCCCTTTGATGGGCTCACTCCCCTCACCTCCTGCAGCGTGGATGTTGCCCCCTCCTGGAGGGTACCCCCAGCACAGGCTGCAGACTTTCTCCCGTCCACGCAGCATCTCTCCTGATCAGGCCCCCAGCTAATGCTGCGCGTCTGTTTCTTCAGAGTCAACTTTTTGGAAAGAGTTTTTACACTTGCTGTCTCTGATGTGTCCCTTTGCTTTCCCTCGGAGCCACATTTTGCCTCTATCACTTCAAAGAAACTGCTCGTTTCAAGAATTCTAATACCTTCCATGTTGTTAAATCCAATGGCCGGCGTGTCCTCTTCTGACTTAACCAGCACAGGCATGGACACACCGTCATCTCCTGTCCCTGGAAACACGTCCACACTTGGTTTTCTGACACTCGACTCCTTCCTCGCCGGCTGCTTTGACGGCCGCGCTTTGCTGGTATTTTCTCTTCGTCCTGACCCCTGCTCACTGCAACACCATGGCTCTTCCTCTGACATCCTCTCTGCCTTCCCTGACCCACTTAGGGCTTCACACAGTCTCGTCACTTTAAGCATCGCTTACACACCAGGGACTCCCAGATTCAAATGTTCAGCCGGCACACGGTCCCTGAATCCAGACTTGGATGTCCAGCGCTGTCGGAGGCCGCCCTGTGCTCCTCTGTCCCCTATGCCGCAGTCCAGCCTGTCGGCAGGTTCTGTGGACCTGCTTCCGAACCGGTCTGTGTTCTGACCACTTCTCACTGATGGCCGGGGCACCCGGCAGTCAAGGAAGGTCTCAACCTAGTAGCAGGGTCCAGGTTCTTGTCACCACACAAGAAAGAATTCAAGATCGAGACAGATTCAGCAAAGCATGGTGATGTTGTGAAAGCAAAAGTACATACTCAAGAAGGGAGCAGTGGCAAACCCCGAGAATGAGACACCCAGATGGGGCCTGGGTAGAAGGTTTTTGTTAAGTGTAGGCCAGGGGAGGGGAGAGGGTGGCCCTCGGCTTCGGATGCTGGTGGGGTGACTGTTCTTGGCCCTCAGCTCAGGGTAGCTATTGCTTTTTTGGTTCTCCTGGAATTGCTTTATTTTCTTCATGAAGTCAGGCGTTTTTGTTTATTTACTGCCTTATGCTTAGAGCCTAGGCGTGCTTGGCACATCCTAGGCATTCAGTTTAGATTTGTTAATTGAGTGAATAAATAGCACTTGTGAATCCAAATGAGATGACATCTATGACTCCAGGACTCAGGGATGAACAAATCCTGTTAAGAACATCAAAATTGTGTGGTGCTTGGTAACTTGTTTCAATCTCTTTCCCAGGAGATTTCAAGCTGTAAAAGGCGTCCATTCAACCTGACAATGTGCTGATTAGCATGTCACGATATAGCCAAATGGGCTGAAAGGACAAAGACTGCGACACTGATGCCAGTAGTCAGGGTCCGTGCTGGATGTGTCTGCATGAGCCGGCCGGCCCTGCAGTACATGCAGTGCATGCTGGACATAAACAGAGCATTTCTGCACCGGAGCAACTCTTTCAAACAACTGAGATGCCATTTGGAGTAAAGAAATAGCTCATATGCTCCGTGCCATGCTTGAAAGAGCACCAAGGGCTTTAGGGTAGGAAACCATCCACTTCTTTTCAGCAGAGCATGAAATCATCCTATTACCTTTTATCAGGCTACGTACATAAAGGGGTTGTGCCTATTAATAAAAACCATGCATCCTGCCCAGGCTGGTTTGGCTCAGCAGTTAGGGCGTTGACCTGTGGACCAAAGAGTCATGGGTTCAACTCCTGGTCAAGGGCACATACTTTGGTTGTGGTTTGGTCCCGGCCCTGGTCAGGGTTATGCAGGAGGCAACCAGTCCATGTGTCTGTCTCACATCAATGTTGCTCTCGCTCTCGCTCTCCCTCCCTCCCTCCCTCCCTCCCACTCTATCTGAAAATCAATGGAAAAATATCCTTGGGTGAGGATTAAAAAAAAAAAATTCATGCATCTTTGTTTCTCCAAGGGAAAAACTGTCATTTTCCTGTTCCCACCTACTTCTGTGGGGTCACTTTGCTGTGCTGTGGTGTGTTGGGCATGGATTGGCCACAAGGGTTAGATCGTTTATCTGGATGACTTTGAAGTAGGTATTCTTCCACTGAGACTTTCTTCTAAATGTGTATCACAGACTGTCCTCTGGCTAAGCCCTGTCTCACGGGAGAAAAGGGAATGCGAATACTGTCATCGTTGGTTGAGTGACATCACATATTGTTTTTTTGCTTTCCTGGGATAGGATTTGTTTCATTGATGCTTTGTTTTTGTATCAGGTTAAGCTTGTCTCCTGGCCGAGTCACACCCACTCAGTGATTTTATTCTAATTTTTGCCCCCTGCCCAATCAGTGAAAGCTTCCTGACACCCATTTTATTACTAGAAAACTTGAATGTCTGTTTAGGTCTGGCACTCAGTTTTTTAAACTGAGAATTTTGCCCAGGACTTCCACAAAGCTGCTCGCATAGACATTAATAATTGCAGTAAAATAAATAAATAAATAAACAAATAAATAAATAGCAGTTGGATAGGAAGGCTGCCTTGACATAATAGTCCAAAGTGGCTAATCGATATACAAAATCCTGAAAATATCACAGGAGTTTAAAAATGAGAACAGAGAACGTCATCCCACAAAGATTGGTGTTACTCAACATTTGGGCCAAAATTCATAGTTTTGATTCTTCCGTACAGTGTAACATAGGCAACTCTCATGTACTTAAAGTATTCTACTTAAAATACATTTTAGGAATTAAAATTTCAGTAAAATAAGTGCTTTAGTTTCTAACTCAGAACATAAGATGTGCATCACCATTGTTCGTAATAGGAAATGATACACTTAAATATTTAACAAAAGAATCAGTGACGTAAGGTACATTCATGCAATGACATATTGTACAGTATTTAACACTATGTTGAAAAGGTTTTTGGTAACATTTCATACACTTATTCTAAAATAGTAAGGGAAAATAACAGGATTGTAATTGCATTTCCTATATGATCCCAACTACCTGATAGTTGTGATAAGAGAAAATGCTGGCATAACATACATCAAAATGCTGAGCTCTGCCCCTATGCAGAAGATGCAGATGTTTTACCCTTAAATTTATATTTTTGGTGCCACAGAACATTCTTGCCATGGGTCAGAAGAGAGTTAAAGATTATCTTGAAGACAGGGGTCAGTGTCTCAGAGGTCAGCCAGGGGAGGTAGGTCCCAGACGAACGGAGCAGGTGAGAGGTCCGTCTCCGGGAGCAGGGAGGCCTGTGGGCAGACGGGAGTTGGTGCCCTGCAGAGAGGGCACGGCTCTCGGGGCCAGCCAGCTGCGGCAGTGCAGGTCTTTCCTAGCTTGTCTTACCAGTTATTGCCAAAGTTCAATTTTTACATGAACTTTCTTTTTTTTTTTTTTTTATCCTCACCTGAGGACATTTTTCCATTTTTTGTACAGATAGAGTGGGAGGGAGAGAGAGGAAGAGAGAGAGAGAGAAACATCGATGTGAAGGGACACATCGAGTGGCTGCCACCCGCACAACCAACCAGGGCCGGGGACAAACTGCAACCGAACTACGTGCCCCTAGCGGGAACCGAACCCGGGTCTCTCTGTACCGCAGGCCGACGCTCTAACCGCTGAGCCAAGCCGGCCAGGGCTTACATGAACTTTCTAAATGTAACTGTTGGCAATTAATTCTCTTTTTCTTTGGGGGGAGGGTAGCAATGGGGAGGCCAAACGAGATATGTCTTAAAGGCAGATCTTCCAGGGTACAGTCCATATATTTAAAATGTTAATAGTAAGTTCAGCTGAGTGACTATAGACGAGGCAGGTGCTGAATGAAGGATCACAGGGCACATCCCTGCACGCGGTCTGCTGGGTATCCTCTACTTCCTTCCTGTTCTCTCTGTTCCTTTCTTACCTCCTCCTTTCTCACCTTCCCCCCTCTTCCTCACTGGCCTCTTAAAACATGGAATGTAGTTTTGGTGAATGTTATGGGACTCAAAGATCCCCCAGAAGTAGTAAACCTGAAGACTGTCAGGGCCAGAGCGAGGGTGTCCAGTTCAGTGGTCCTTAAACATCTTGCTTTTAGAACTTCTTTCCACTCTTTACAGATTACTGAGGACTCTGAAGTGTTTTTGTTTATATAGGACATAAGTTAAAAAATATATAAAAAAGGAAATATATAAATAAATGTATATATTTATACAGAAGTATGTAAATATATATTTATATTATTATAATTGAGAATGGAGAAATTTAGAAATCTTTTAATTTAAAATAAGAATGATAACCAATTTATGAAAATAAAAACTTTAATTAAAAATTTAAATGTTAATTTATGAGACTTATTTTTAAAATTTAATTTTTTATTCTTTATTTTTAACATTTAAAACCCTATTTTTTTCTAACCATGACTAACCAATTGTTCTACATTTTTGCGAATCTCCTCAATGTGTGACAGCAGCTGTCCGGAGGCCCCGGTTATTGCGTTTCCTCTGTCGTGATGCTCTGGCCATCAAGCCTCTGGAAAACTCCACTCATCTGTGAGAGAATAGGGGTTACAGTGGCAAATGATTTAATATTATGAAAGTAGCTCTGACCTCATGTAACCTCTGACCAGCTCTCAGGGTCTCCCAGGGGTTCCTGGCTCACAGATGAAGAACTGAAGGTGTTGGTCCTGTCTGAGCCAATTTTATAACCTGGCCCAGTGAGCAGCTCGGTGGAGCACCTGCCCCCTCCCCCAAACCATCGTCTCTTCCATCTCTGCCCCCGACAATCTGTCCTTTTGTATTAAGGCGATATTTTCTATCAAAGTGAAAATACTGGTGGGAGAGAGAACACCTGAAGCCGTTAACAGCTATCAACTCCTTAGTTGGAAAAAAATTTAATTCATTTAAACTTGAGAGGCCATGAGGACAGAAAGAAACATGAGGATGTTCGGAAACAGGGTATGGACAGACCCCTCTCCTCAGCTGAGCAGCAGCTTTACCTGCTGCCCCGCAGGGCCTGGCCTGGGAGCAGCCTGGTGTCTGAAAAGCGCAGGGTCGGCTAGAAAGGAGGCCCTTCCCTGAAGTTTTCATTGCTCACCCTCGAGCTACCTGAGTTACAGTACCCCCGCGGCTGCTAGCGTCCAATTCGGGACTCGCTGATCGCTGATCGAAGACAGAGACTGACAACTACTGATAAAACCCAATCGAAACAAAACTCACTAATTTCTATGAGAAAGATAATCATGCGGGAAGTTCTTTGTTAATGCATCTCATTGTATCTTGCAACTTCCTTAACACCTAGAAATGCTTTTCTAAGCCCCTAGTACTTTTTCTTAAATGGGTTTCTGCTCTCATTATGATTTACTTCTCCTTAGGGACATGCGTTGCTATTTCTTCGTTTCTAAGAGAGTAACCGTTCTATTGGCGCATCTGTGGTGAGACATCCTTGAAAATTAAATTCTAGTCTTTGTAAATAGGGCAAAATGCAACGAGAGTGTCAGGTAATGCGTGAGAATTCAGCTTACTGGTTGTTTCTGCAGATGGAATTACAAATATACTTAAT